CTTAGATATGAATAAATAGAAACCCTTCAAACATTTAAAAGAGAAAACTATTGCGCATCACCCCAGACGCCACGTCAGAAACACTTCTGGACGATTGTCAGACGAGAACGCACATTTTACAAAAACAAAATACATTGATTTCGAATTTTCGTCTTCTAGAAATATACTTTTAAGTTACTTCCGGATGATAGTTAGAAGAGTGCATCCATTTTGCTTAAACAAAAAACCATGCCTGTTGAATTTTTTTCATCTGGAAGTATACGTTTTAGTGACTTCTGTATGAGAGTTGGGTGAGAACACACATTTTACAATAACAAAATACATTGTTTCCTAATTTGTATCTTCTTGATTTGTATGTTTATGTCACTTCTGGAAGACAGTTTGAAGAGTGTTCACATTAATGTTGTATTTTATTCATCTGGAAGTGTGGATTGTAGTCACTTCTGTACAATTGTCAGACGAGAGCACACATTTTACAAAAACAAAATACATTGATTTCTAGTTTTCGCCGTCTGGAAGTATACTTTTAGGTTACTTCCGGATGATAGTAAGAAGAGTACAAAAACAAAAAATATAAATACTCCATTTTTTAGCGTGAAAAAATAAAAATAAATAATGCAGATGATGTTTTGTGTTTTGTTCAGTCATGTTCAGTTTTAATTATTCATCGTAAAACTTAAATGAGTTCTTGAATTTAATGTTCATAGAAAAATAGTGTAATTAAAATATTGTGAATCTTAAGTAATAAAAAACAATATGACAATGTTGTGTTAAAAATCAACTGTTAATAAACATTTAAGAAGGTTTTCTTAATTGACGAAGTTTATTAAATATATACCAAAAAGTATAAGGAAGGATTATATAAATAAAATTAAAAAGTAAGTTGTCATATTAAAATACTATTTTAGGAATATGTTAACAACTCTAAACGGCTTCCATTTCCATTATTTTTAAAAAAGTCTAATATGTTTCATTAAAAATGTTTTTATATTAAATTTCGACTCTCTCTTAATTCGTTTAGGATGAACATCGGCTTTCATTTGATGAACATTGCATTTTTAACATATTTAGATTTATTTGAGTTAAATCTTAACTTTCAATATTTTTAAAACTATTTGCGCGTCTAAGTCTGGAATCACTATATTGAAATTAATACTACTGTTTTATACATAAATTATTTTTTGACTTGGGTCACTCGACACGAAATTGCCCATATAAGATATTTAATATTGAAATCAGATAGTTTTAAACCCACCTTTTTTAAATAAATACAATTTTATTAATTTCCATATAGATATTGAACCTAAGTATTAGAAGAGAGCAAACAAAAAATGTCAAAAGCAATATCCCGTTTAGGGTCGTTAAGGTGTTTCTATCGTTAGTGACTGTAAATAATTTAAAAAATAATCCATGACTTAGTAATTTCAGATCTTTATAGACGGTTTAATTCCAAGTTATTGAAAAAATGTTCATGAAAGGTAATGTTTTTATTGATTCAAAACAATAAATAAATAAATTAATTAATTTTTAATTATTTTATTTTTTAGAAAGCAGTAGCTAATATTAAAATACTTCTAACTGAATTAAAATATAAAAAAGGGATCTGGTAAGTTATAAATGTCTTATTTCATCACGTGGTTCTACTAAAAATGTCGATTATTTGCAGAAAATGTAAAAAATGGATCTGACCGTTTAAACTTTGGTGGTAAATGTATTGGACATGAGAGAATCCTATTTTTATTGCTTCCTAAAGTATAACTGTTAATTTCAATAAATACAAAAGTATGTATATTCAATATTAATTATAACATTATTTTGGTTTATTTCGTTGAAGGATTAATGCGTTCCATAATATAACTCTTACAATTTGATGGATTAATCATAAAATTGATGAAGAACTACAAAAATATTTTAGAGTCCAACGTTTTACAATTTTTGGAAGTATACCAGTCAGCAGTTGGAATATTAATACAGACTCCCTGAAAATTATCTTATTATAAGGTAATAATTCTAAATTTTTGATACATATGTATGTACATTAGACCGACTCCCTCTGTATGGAAAGCAAAAACGTGTTTTTGTTACCCCTCCCAAAATTTACCTTGCTTTGTCTTATGATGATTCCCAAAATATTTTAAGTGACCACTGAACCAAATTAAAAAAAGGTATTTTGGAATTATTTTTTTTAAATTTTTGTTTGTTTTGAAACAAAATATCCAATACGGGGTATCGTTTAAAAGGTATTTTAAAGTCGCGTCCAATGATGTATTAATCATAAATAACCGTTTGCTTATAATTGTCATATTCCAAAATATTTAAAATTGTTAGGTTTTTACTAAGAAAAATTAAATATATGCACAATTTTGCGCACCACTAGACTTGGCTTCAAAAAACCTTTCAAATGATACCACATACTGTATATATTGTTTAAGAAATGCTGTATAATTTAAAACAAAATAACTAAAAAGGGACTTTTTTGTAACCGGTTCAGCTCACGAACGGCCACCGATAGACTAGAAATATTTTGGGAACCATTATAAAACATAACAAAGATTTTTTGAAGCTGGATAAAATATTGAATTTAACATGAAGAATCGTGTTCCCATACGATATTTTCTTTAAAACTGTCCAGCTCACGAATGGACAACACTTAACCGAAAATATTTTGGGTAACATCATATTACATAACAGCGAATATTATGAGGGGGGTAACTCAAGCACCATTTTTTGTGAGTCGGTCTAATGTACATACATATATTACTTTTTTTAGATTAGTTGTTAAATCTGTTATTTTTTCTACTATTTTAATTTCAATTAATTCAATAAAAACTATAAAATTTCATTTTATTTAGATTTATTTTTATAGATTTTATTTTGGTGAGTATACAAATAGAAGAAGAGAAAACTCATCTTCTAGAAGACGAGAATACTCATCTTCTAGAAGAAGAGAATACTCATCTTCAAGAAGAAGAGAATACTCTTCTTCAAGAAGAAGAGAATACTCTTCTTCTAGAAGAAGAGAAAACTCATCTTCTAGAAGATAAGATAGGAACACTTCTAGAGGATACTAGGTAGTCACTTCAAGAAGTGACTTCCTAGTCACATCTAGAAGAGTCTTTGGCAATACCTTACTTCCAAGAGTCATCTAGAAGTTTCTTCTGCTGGTCTTCCAGAAGTATCTTCCATGTTACTATTAGACGTTCCCCAGCTCGGCATCAGTTCTTCCCGACTGGTGACAAGAATTCTTATACTTCCGCAACATCGCTGGCGAGCTTTTAGCACGTTTGGAAGTTTCACACGGGTAACTTCCGCAATAGAAAATGTTTGTAGGGAACGCTCTAAAGCTTCTGTTTTTTTAGGCTCTCCATTCATTTCCTCTTGTTGTTTGGAGCCATGGATCGTCGGTTTTGTTTGATCACTCTAAACAAACGTTAGTTTTTTATAAGTTTTGAAAATAAAAAATCAATTTTTTGATAATTATTTAAAATTTTAATGTCTCATTTGAATACACAAGTCAAACGAGCAGTGAGTCGGACAGACATACGAATCTATTAATACTAGTTTTTGATTTTAGAGTTTGACTTTAAACTCATGACTTTGGTAACGCTGCGAGAGTGAGTCTGTTTGTATGTAAATCTGTTAATGATGATCATTGTGGAACGACTTAATTAGCAATAAAGTGGAACTGATTTCTTGTTGTTGAATTTCAAACAAAATAGAGGAACACAAGCGGTTGTACCGAAGAATAAAAAATTAAAATAAAATTTAAATAGATTTCTGCTGAGTTTGTTTGTAAAACAAAAATATAAACAAAATACGACAAATTTACATAAATCACTAAATTTTATTTGTATTTTTTTATTACTTGTTTTGTGTTTCTTCTTTAATCTTTCATTTTTCAAGACATTCGATTATGATTAAAAGTTTTCTTTCGAAACTTGTAACAAAATCCGTGGGAACTTTCAACAGCCAACTAAAAATGGGTTGAAATTGGAAAAAATTAATTTGTTATTTTATCAGTTGATTTGCAAGTGGATTTTCGAATTCATTTTACATTCGAAATCCCCTAGTTGCGAATTCATATTCAAAAATAATTTTATGATTTAAATTGTCATTTTTTTATTAGCTGAATATGAATATGAAACACATTATAACTCATTTAATTAAATGTTATCAACGACAATAATAGAACTTAATTTACACATTTAACCATAAGTGGCAGCCACAACTAAATGAGCTGAAATTTTATTTAGTTCTTGAATGTTGGGGGTTGTACAACTTAATTGTTGGTTATTGTTTTCCATTGTTCTTAAAAAGGACTTGTGTGTTGCTCTGTATGTATGTATATTGCTTTGTGTTCAGTTAGTGTTATAATTTGGTTTATTAACAAGCATTTGCGTTTAAGTTTTTTTTTGGGTTTTCTGATTATTTTTCTGTTAAATATGTACAATTTTTATAACCTGAAAAACGAAATCTTAACGGAGTTTTTCTACGCTGACTTTATACTGTATGTACAATTGTTTATTTCGGTTAGTTTTTTTTTCTATTTTCATAATAAAAATGAAATTTATAGGATTTTCATGCATGTTGACAGGCGTTGCACTATAAAGAATTCGAAATGGAACGGAAACGGAAGTAATTCGGTTGGCTTTTAAGGTGTAAATTTGCATATCTGTTTTTGTTTTTGGCATTGTACCGTCCTTTAGCTTAAAATATTCAAAAATTAGCAGGCAAAAAGGGCAACTATTGATTGTAGTTAAAATTATAAGGAAAACATGGGCATTAAGCTTTCGAATGAATTTACTTTTCCGACCAGATATTTGCATAATTTTCTTTTATATTATGGATAAATGACATGCAATGACCAGTACGCTTTTATGTGATTAAATTTAATTGAAGTTGGTTACATTTTGAATGATCTTATTGTTGGCACCAGAATGTTTTGTATTATTAATGTTTTATTTCAATTTTACATTCGGATTAGTTTGTTTATAGAAAATCTTCTCTCTTTTACAGGCATTAATACAGCGATTTCGTGGAAAAATCAATCATAAAATCAACGTAAACAAATACTTTTTTAAGCTACAGCTTGGATTCACTGGACAACTGGCTGTTGGTTGGTTGGCACGGTCGTAAAAAAAAACTATCTACAGTTCAGTGAGCATTTATTTTGTGATTTTATAGCTCCGGCTAAGATACGAGCTCAGTGATTAGAAATAAGTCTTTACAGACAGACGTCTCTCATTAAAACGTAAACGCGAAGCCTCCGCCACTATGCCGCATACAGGTGAGTTAAAAAATAAAATAAAAATTAAATTAAATAACTAATGACGCCATTGTAAACGTTGGTTTCAATTTTATTACACCAAATAAAACTAAATAAAACCAACAAACAAATTAAAAGCAAATGTTTATATGTATGTATGCAATCCAAGATTTACACTCATTCTTTTTTCTTTCAATTATATTTGGCTCCTTAACACTTTAACTTCGTTCCACTCAACTAAAAAAAAAAACAGAGTAAAAATAAAAATCCATGTGTGTGGTTCTTAATCATTTTACGGACAATGTTTTAAAGGTACAATGATCTCGTTTTGTGCTTATTAAAAATAACATTAAACTTACACATAAATATGTGTGTGAGATACGAGTTTGTTTACTTCAAAAAATCGTTAATTGCTTAAATAAAGTTTTTATTTTGCACATTTTTCAATTAATTTAACCATTATTCCTTTTAAGTATTCAAACATTATGCTCAAACATGACGGACATGATGGAAAACTGCAACAACTGCAACGAAAGCGACAACAACATCAAAAAAAATACCTTCACGGTTATTATTATTTTTTTACGATCAATACCAGGCGGCTTTTGAAATTGTTGTTAATCTTTGGTTCTCCCCTTTTTGTTCATTGAGGATAATAAAATCGAGTTTATGATCTTTTACTACATGCTTCCACATTCAGATACTCTCTACATACACACACTGTTTAATTGGTACTGTGTTGGATGCGCCAGAGTAGATCACTTAAAATATTAGTTATATATGTACATACGTACATACATACATAAGTATATCAATAATTGTTTTTAGACATTCATAAATTCGCTTTAAAATATCTGATACGATCAACCATCTTAACTTAATTCTGAATTATTAACAGACAGATTATCGAAAAGACAGATATAGGTAAAAGGGGTTTACAAATCAAAATCTATAATTTGGATTTTTGAAAACTTGAAAATTCTTAAGTAGTTTATGTTTATTCCAAAAAAAATTTTCAAATAAAATTTTTTATAATTTTTCATAAATTTCGATTGCAGGTCAAGCTGGTGTTAATCAGTTGGGTGGAGTTTTTGTAAATGGACGTCCATTGCCGGATTGTGTTCGTCGACGCATTGTGGAACTGGCGTTATGTGGTGTTAGACCTTGTGATATATCACGCCAACTATTGGTATCCCATGGTATGTTGTTATATTTTGTTTATTTTTTAATTATGACAATCTTCTATAATGTTTGAATGACCAAAACGTTTATTATTTAAGAAAATAACTATTCAAATAAAATTTATATTTTTTTAATTTTCATTTTAGGCTGTGTTTCAAAAATTCTTACACGTTTTTATGAAACGGGTTCAATACGTCCAGGGTCCATAGGAGGCAGTAAAACAAAGGTAAGTTTAATAGTCAAATCTATTTTAATAATATATTTATAAAAGCACAATTCCGTAAGTGCTTAGTGAAATATACTTGTTCGCCAAAGTTTCAAAGAAGTTTTAACATATGTATGTATTTATTTGGGGCATGGATTTTAAAGGAATATACCAAAAAACAGCTTAAGAAATTTATATATAGTCTATCTGAATTAAATTCTTGATCCATCGCAGGTTTCAATTTGTTTTTTATCTATTTTTTCTATTTTACGACCCCTCATTAAATATCCACAACAAAATAATAAATAAATAAATGAACCTCTTGACATTTTGTGGTTAAATCAATATTTACAGTAAGTCCAATAAATATGTATGAAAAAGTTGTTGTATTCGTCAAAACATGCTTAACAAATCACACTTTTGTAGCATTACATATAATAAATTTTCAATAGATATTGTATTATAACGTTATTATTGATTTAGTTATTGATTACATGTGATATCTGTAAACATATTTTTTAACCCACTGAAGACTTGGTACCCTACAGATCATCACTTCTGTATCAGCAATAGCAGTAATCAGTCTCTGTATAGAATAATCAATTCGTTAAAGTAATTAACTCCTGATTGATTTATTAATGCCATTGAAATTCAAAAGATTACGAAATCACTTTCTTATTACAGTTATCCGATTTACGGGAATATTTCAGTATTTTCGCATATAAATTGTTCTTCTGTTTTTGTTTCTCTCTTTATACACCATTTATTTTACTGATCCCTGTTTGAAACCATAAAACTGTGTGAACCACAATAAATCTGTCTGGGTATTAATAGGGAGTAAGGTAGTCGGATATGTTTTAGCAGTAATATTGATTTTTTGTTTACCAATAATCAGCAACAACCAAAGACATTGCAAATCAATCTGTAATGAATACAAACAAACTTGTTATTAAAATGTGATAAGAACGAACAACAACAAAAACAACACCAACACTTAATACAACAACAATTAACTTATAAGCGAAACCATTTAAAGTATAAATAAAACATTAACGATGTGCATAAATTGACGACTGCCACCTATGTTGACAAACAAACCTAAATGTATTAAACAAACTTAATTCAGGTGTTTTCCAATGCAAAATTTCTCAGGCCCATGCAGGATATTAAAAGTATAACAACTGATAACACCAACTCACAGTCATACAAATGTATTTTTTTTATTATAAGGTAAATATAATCTCAATTTACATATTTATGGTTACAGGAGCACAAAAATAATAATCTCCACATAATTCCAAGTTTATGGCTATAATGACATGTAGAAGCTACTGGTTTTTATATCAAATAAATTTGATTTGAAACGAAATTGTAGAAATCTTCGAAAAAAAAAATCGCTAATTGAGTCGAAAATATTAAACAATTTTCTCTTTTACACTCACGTATACGCTCTGCAAAGATTTTCGATGATTTGTCATTAAATGGCTAATCAATCATATTTCCCAGTTAATTAATAAAAAATTGAAGGTTTCTTGTATCTAAAATCACACAAATACGCGTGTGTACATGTGTGTAAATATTTAAATAAATAAAATAACAAAACGAAACGAAACATGAGTGAACAGGAGTAAAAATCAATCACTTTTCCAACACCCATTAGTATTAGTTCAACAGAAAGTTTTTTCTTTTTGTTGTTTGTGGAGGGGGGCAATGTAAGGGGAGTTAAGTTAGTTCAAATACAAAACGTGCATTTAACACCTTTTTGTGTTTAAATAATCATTAGAATAATGCTCATACGTTGGCGTGTTTTTCACTTTTTTGTCCATATTTTCTAGTTGTATGTTGTTTTTCTTTTATTTCTGATAATCATCAAGGCATCAAGTGTATTCTACAATTTATGTGTCCATAAACATTTTTATTTATGAATTTTTAATGAATTGCCAAGTCACACGTCATCAACTGCACCAGTCTTAGTTGGATTTCGATATTTCTTCGTACTTTAGGGGAGGATTTAAAAACTTACACAAAACTAACAATATTACACTTACACAAAAAAGGCGTCGGAAGTGTTATTTCAATAAAATTGTATTCATTTTACAAGTCGGTCAGAGGTTGAATCAGTTTTATTTGCAAGTTGTAATAAGTAATTCAGTGAAACTAAATAAAAATAAAATCAGCAAAGGGTTAAGTCGTTTGCATGATTGCAAAATTTGAAAACAAAAGAATAATAAATATGAAAAACAATTGAAATTTCACGGTATTTAATTGTTAGCATTGCACGACTTCTAGCGGAAGCTTAAAACTTATTTAACATGTCTATTTTAACTTTAAAATAACAAAAAATTTGACTGATAAAATCTTTTCGTTTTCCTATTCCAGCAAGTGGCCACCCCTACAGTTGTGAAGAAAATAATACGTTTGAAGGAGGAAAACAGCGGTTTGTTTGCCTGGGAGATACGTGAACAGTTACAGCAGCAACGTATATGCGATCCCAGCTCGGTGCCCTCAATAAGTTCCATTAATCGCATATTACGCAATAGTGGTTTATGGACTGATGAAATGACTTCAAACCAACAAAATGCAGCTGCAGTAGCGGCAGCCTCTGGTGGACATCATGTAGGAACAGCACCATATAATGCGCCTAATCAATTGTATGCTAATGCAACCAACTCCTCCAGTGCAACCAGTTCAACATCGGATCCCGCAACATACACACATAATAGGTCTTCTCATTCTCAACCACCAATTGGCCTACCGAATGCTTATCGATATGGTGAAGGTTCTAATGTAGTATCTGGCACCAATTCACTACCAACAGTAGCAGCAGCCGATCATCCTATTAAACCTTCACCAAAACACCCCTTAAATGTACTGGCCACCACTAGTTCTAGCCCACCGTCGCTTACGACTCAATTAACTGCACAAGATTTATCGTATTCGGCAGCTTTACAGAAGCATTGGTTTTGGAATCCATCCCTGCTCTACTATACACAACATGTCCAAGCCGCTAGTCAATTCTTGCCCTATGCCGCTCATACTCAGCATCCACCAAATACATATTTTCCTTCTTCACTGCATGGCTCTAGCAGTGGAGGTTACACCAAATCGGAAAGTTCAATTGACTTGACTACACCGTCAGCGGGGGATACTCTAAGTGATTGTGATTCTGGAAAATCCTCCCCGGCTACCATAAACCTAAGCACATCCTCAACGCGTAAACGCAATCCCTATTCCATTGAAGAGCTCCTCAAGAAACCAGAGAAGCGTATGCGCCTAAATGCATCATTAGACCAGAATGATCTGAAATTAAATAGTTCCCTTAATTTAAGTCCCAAAAAAGAGGACTGCAACATTAGTGTGTGTTCGGCTAGTAGCAGCAGCAATCACAGCAGTACCGGCAGCCACATCAGTTGTGTGGGCGAGGACAGTTGTGACGATGATCGCCGTTGCTCGCCAACACTTAATGTGGCATCAGCTGAAACGGAAGATAACTGTGAACCTGTCGAGGTGGTCAATTAAAGCGTCATTATTGTTTATTAATCAATTAATTAATTTAAATTTACTAATTTGTTTTAAAATTTGTAAAAGTATTCATGAGTTTACAAGTATTAATTTCAGTTCTATTCAGTGTATGTGTATATAGTATTTATGTAAGTCTTTTAAATGTCAGTGTGTGTATGTGCGATAATCATATTCACATACATATTTATGTAAATCAAATAGATTAGATTAGAAAAAGTGTGAAAACAAAAACAAAAAATACATAAAATAAATGCTTAAATCCAAATTGATAAAAAAATAACATGCTTTGTAATTTATTCCATTATTTTTTATTTTAAAGTTTAATAAAACTATGTACATTTCTAATTAGTCGTATTTAACTTTTAAGTGCGCATTTGGCCTATGAAAATACTTCGCCTCTTTCAAAACTCCGAACAGCAATTATCGCTCTTAAATATGAACGAAATCTGACACCAATAATCCCGGAATTCGAGATTTCTCAAAAGTTCATATTTAAGTTAATTATAAGTTTTTTTTATACATTAAAAAAGGAGAGCCATACTACCGGTAAATATTTCAACCGTATTTCCCTCAACGTGTGATGGTTTTATTATATGTATATTATGATTAACGATCCCGTCCGTACTACTCTGCACAAAATTTTGACTGAAGTTTTTCCGAGTTTCCGATTGGCGCACTATGCATAACATGTTGCCATTAATTACACTAGTTTAAATACTACACAAAAGAACAGTCAGAGTACCTCATAGGACTAATCTTTTGTAATGTAGTTATTTCATACATCACTTGGTAGGTTGTCTCGAGCGTATGTCTAATAAGGAATTATTTAATGGTTCCAACCCTAGTAGATAACAGAAAGTTTTTGAAAAAATATTGATGTTTACATTTATGTAAAAATCATTTCAAATAGCACGATAACATAATTTGTTATTGGAGCATTGAGTAAGATAATAGAGTAATAAACACAGAAAATAACTCCAAAACCGGTTTTAAATTCGGAAATGTCGGGTAAGCACTTTTGTAACCACTTATTTTTTGGTCATCGTCAAACAAAAATAAGTGGTTATACACCCAAAAAGTAATTACTTACACTTTGCACCTCCAAAATGTTTGTAAATACAATGTGTGGAAACGAAGCAGTAAAAACAGGTCCCAAATTACGGCATACGATATCGACCGAAATCTCAATAGAATCGAAGTTGAGATTTCGATCGATATCGTATGCCATAATTTGGGATCAGTTTTACTAAATTTAACGTTGGTATACTTGTTCATAATAACTAAATGTTACTCATACGAAACCGTGACAAATACTAAAAAAGTTTTCGGAAGTTAAACGCAAATATCTTTAGAGCAAAGATATTTGCTCTAAAGATATTTTCAACAAACAGTGACACATTTTTAAAATTCTTTTTACATCTTTTTACTTTGTGTTTGAAATAACAAAATTTTTACATAAAATTCCAAATAAAAATATCGGTACCAATATGGAAATTTCTTAAGGAAAAATTAAATTAAAATACAATTCAACTAAGCATATAAATCTAAAATACTTAATACCAAACTTAGATTTACACAGACATCAACATAATGGAGCAAAGTCTAAAACCCAACAAGCATTTTTTTACGAATTAATCTAAAAGTTGAACAGAAATAATATGTGAAATTTTGTTCACAAGTTTCTTCCCTACTTTATTATGTAGGGAACTTAAATCTAATGTCTAATCTAATTTAAAAGGTAACTTCGGTTACTTGGAAATTTCAATATTTAGTAGAACAGGTAATCGATTAATACTCGTATGCGTATAGATTTCGGTACTTTTTTCATTTCCGACATGTATCAGCAACTAGGGTAGGATGTCGGTACGAATTCTTACAAATCTCAGTTTAAAATATGTTCAGTGGGGACTTACATTGAAGAAAACTTATTTCACACAACAACCATATAGAATTTACAACTTAACTTACGTTAAATATCATACATACTTTATTTTCATGGATATAAATACATATGTACATGTGTACGTACATACATACATATGTATGTATGTATTACACTAAGTTGCACAGTTGGTGGTCTTTCGATTTATGATAGTCGAGATGCATTGGTAACCGTGTGTGTTTATGGATTTTTTTGTGCTGTTTAATAATGTTAAGAGTTGGTGTAAAAATCAAACACTTTAATGTAAGACATTCAGCAGAGTATGTATGTACATACATATGTACGTATGTATCAATGTTTATCCATGTATGTCTCAATGTATTTTTAAGTTTAGATTGATGGTTGGTTACCTTGCTTACGAAGCCTTTAATTAACTCGCGCGCCAATGAAGTGTCAACAAGTCTTAACATACAAAATAACAACTTCTAGGTGAATTTAAACGTTACTGCAACTACAACCGCAACTACTTGCTACAAACAAGTACTATATCATTTTAACAGCAGCAACAATAATAACAACAACAACAACATCAAATAATAACAATAAAAATTACGAGTATGGTGTTGATGATGGTGGTGACGTTGACAATGGTGACCACGACAACGACGGCGACGACAATGATGACGAAAACGACACTGACGATGAGAATACTCGCAATATTGATGAAATTCATGAAAAATTTTATGCAACATACTCGTACAAACTATAAGTCGAACGAAACATATGACTACTTACATCGAAACAATGTGATGATGATGATGAGGTGATGGTGCTGGTGTTACTGGCGCAGCGTGCAACATTCGTGTTTAGAATTCATAATCGATCAGTATGAATGTGTTGCATTGTTGATATTTGATTTGTTGTTGCTGTTGTTTTTTACACCATATTGGTCTCTACCATTTAGGGAATTTTTGCACTTGTGAGGTGCGAAATACTTATTTGTGATCTGTCTGTCCTCCAGTCTGTCTGTCGTTCGATCGATCGGTCTGTGTTTCTCCATTGGCAAGTGATCACAGTAGACTAAGAATGAAATTAAAAATGCTGCACAAAAATGTATTTAATTTTCCCATGTTCAGAGCGGTTGGTGATCAAGTTACTTGTAGTTCTCGTACGAGTATGAAACACTAATTTGGTAAAAATCAACAATTCGATTCTTGTTGCAATGAAAAGTAAAATTCATTTACTATATACTACGAAGTGTTGTCATTGTTATTACAGTAGTAGTTGCTAAAAGTGCTAAAATTGATAAAGTCAATTTGCTGCTAGATAGTCAGTCTATCTGGCGAATGTTTATTGTTGCGATTGCGAGTATGTGTGTGTCCAAGTATTTTTTTCTTTTTCTCCTTTTGGTTTGTAAAGTATTCATCACTTAACTGGCGTTCAACCTCATGGGAACCATGTTCTAATTGGCGAAAACGATGGTGATGCTGATTAAACAAAACAGTCACAAGACTACATTTCTGAAACACTAAACATTAAAGACATTTTAAAATATACATTAGAAAACATTTGAATGTAATCTCATATATTTTAAAAAGTTAATCTCATTAACAAATCATTACCGCACGTCATGTTTAATTTTGGAAGAAATCTATAAAAAAATAATAATCAAATAAAATACAATTTAAAAAATTTAAGATTGTGTTAAAAATTCGAAACTCGTATATTTCGCAGCAGAAATAAATCTACTACTGGAAAAAAATTAACAAGAATTATATACATAAAAACTGTAATATAAATTTGGTAAAACAGTCTTGCACCAATGTCGACCAACCATCCATCAAACACATTGGAGAGAGAAAAATTAAGAAATGTGAAATTAACAAAAACATTGCCATAATTGTATCACGTGCAACCATGCATCATCCGTCGTCTATCTAACAAACCAAAATAAAATCAGACATCCATCCGTCTCATCGATGGACGGATCGATCGATCGATTGTAAACATCTTAGCTGTTCTTTAACGTTGCTTTACAGTTCATAAACATCAGCAAACACCAAATAAATACAATCTGAGAATATCGGCATTAGCGTTTTTTTTTGGCTTTAATATAAAGTCTGGTCGTTATTTGAGCACCCTTCATACATAAACTTAAAAAATACTATTCATGCTAATTTTCACGTACTCTTTTTGAATGTTTTATTTAACTCATCCCATCTTCAATTTTAGCTTTTAATCTTGTGATTATAAACATAAGAATTTGCTTAACTCCTTCATGCCACTAGTAATAAAAAGCAAATGGACAAACCAACTCATTGACAGTTCAAATAGATGGACAGTGACCTGGTTGTCTGTTAGGCTAACCGACTTAACTGCATGGCTATAATGCATGCTTTGGGTGAGCGCGATCGCTTCGGCTGTTGACTTGATGGAATGATGAGGAGCAACGATGTATAGTAATGCGTTGCGAAAACAAAATTCCATGACGACTGACAGTATTAAACATTTTTCGCTTTTAAAAGTGTAAAACCTTCAACAAAAACGCTTAAACGAAAGGAGAAAAAAACAAAGAATATGAAACAACAAACAAATAAAAACTTGTAGAAATCTTTTTCCATGTCTACAGTTCTGCCATTCGATATCAATGCAGCAGATCAGCAGCCAAACAGTACTCGCTCTCAAAGATTTCTGTTTTTTGTCTCTATAAATGTAGACGAATGTTTGTGTATATTGTGTTTTTTTTCGCTTCGAGATATTTCAGAATCATTCCTCATCGTTTTAAGGTGATACTTTTGGTTCATCGTTGTTCATTCCACTTCAGCACAAAAATGACAAAATGTCTTTTATTTTTCCAAACAGAATATTTTTATACGGTCGCGCTTAAAATATCAATGAGCTTGAATGGTTTTTTGGGATGTTTTTGCTCTTGGTCGTTTTGTCCTCTAGTACTCGCACGAACAATGTTTTAAAAATTTTAACAAAAACGCTTGAATTTAGAGCTTTTTGTTTCTGCTGGCTTTTGGAATTTTGTTTGGGATTTTAGCTTTTTTATTGTAAGATGATCTTTCACTGCTACTTTCTGATGACGTTGCTTATAATGATCATTGTGAGGAATTTTTTTTT